AGTAATATTTTATAAAATACTTCTATTGAAGAATTAATTGTTATTAGGTTTTTTAAGCAAATAAATGAATATTATACATTAACGAAAAGATCGTTTTTGAGTTCGAATCCACCTGGTAATACATTATTCCGCTCCCACACTCCCGAAAACACAATTTCCACATGTCGCAGCAGCAATTAGTTCCCATCGATCGATCGATCCATCGCCTTGCCCGGAATCTTGGGAGCAAACGAACCGAAAACGAGAAGACTTCATCGGGAGATTTGGGCAAATCTTTAGCTGCTTGGATCACCAGTTCGTTGGCATCGAAGCGTTTCATACGGAGGCTTCCGTTCCTCTCCGTTCCGCTTGCCCCAACTCAAGTGGCACCGACCAAGGCGATGCAGCGATGCCACAATGCAGCATCCCAAACTCAAGTGCACCTTCCCATCGGCATCATCATCATCACCATCATCATTATCATCATCATCATCATCATCATCATTGGCATCGGCATCGGCATCACCATTCAGCCTCATCAGCGTTCTCATTCTCGGCGTCTTTATCGATGGGAGACTATCGGAAAATCACGTAATGGGCACGTAGGCCAAATATTTACTTAAGCCCAAGTTGTGAGGAGAACAGAGGGGGGGAGGAGTGAGGAGGGGAGGGTCGCAACGGGGGCCACGTTAATGTTGTGGTGGCAAACCAATTGACTTCACAAGCGAACTCCAGCAAAAGGCGACTCGAGCAGCGCAGAGGAAACCGGGAGGCGTGAACACGAGTGGCAGGGGCAAATGGAGGCTTCCCCCTGCAATTCATTGACTAATTGCCCGCATCGAATGCAGCTCACTGTTTCAGCAGTTTTCTTTTCCATTTCTTTTGGATTTAAATCACTTCTACTAATGTATACATAAACTATAATATAGTTAGAAACGTTAGCCTTCACCAATTTGATCTGAGTTCCAATATGAGATGCGTGAAAATTATTGACCTACATTGAAATTGAATATTTCCGAAGTTTCTGGAAGGATGGCCCATGACTTTATAAATTTCAGTAAGATCTCAAAGTAGCCTAACACTTAGCAATTTTTATTAGTTAACTAAAGGAACTGCATTTAGATTTTTCAAATTGGTGACCCAAAACTGCACTGTGTCAATTTTAATCCGATCCTCAAAACTTTTGTGATCGATATCCTAAATTAAACGCATGTTTTTTGCTTTTTTTTTTTTAATTTGTTAACCTCTTTTTAAGTCAGATATTTTCAAGTTTCAAAGTATGTATTTGTATTCAGTATAACTCCGATTTCAACTACATTTACTCCTTTTTATCATTAGTTTGATTATTCAACTTGGTTTCTTTCAGTGAATCCTACATATGTCCGACTGCAAGTGCAACATCAGTTGAATTTTGACTTTGGGGGCCTGAGGATGTGACTGAGATTCCAGGATGCGGGCCTTCAAATAAGGAACTCCTGAGTTGACTTTGCATTTCGGGGATTTTAATGGGTGGGTGGTTCGGTTATTCCTTTGAGGACCACCCGCAGCAAGCGGACCTCGAGCAATTCCATTGATTAGGATATATATAAGTATATACCATAGTACCATAGTACATGCATCAATTTGAGGCAGCCAGCCGAGTTGGGCTTCCACAACGAGAATCCTCTTGAGGAAATTGCCGCAGTCCAAACCAAATAAAACCTTTGCCACCCTCGAGTGTGTGGCAAGTATCAAAGTCAAAGAGATGTGAAGTGGCAAGAAGAAAAGCGGGAAAACAACGGAGGGGGCAGAAGGGGGAGTGGGTAAAAATGTGGGTTAGAAGCGGAGGTGGCAAGTATTTTGCACTAAAAGCGAAACTACTTAGCATTTGCCATCGAAGTCGGACTCGAAATGCGGAGTTAGCCAGGCGGAAACGGAAACAGCCAAAGAAACAGAAACAGAAGCGGAAACGGTGGAAAGGGAAACGAAAAGGGGAGTGAGAGAGGGGAGGGGAAAAGGGGAAGGGAGAAAGGAGAAAGGAGAAGGAGAAAGCGAAAGCCCAGACTGAGGAATGAGGTCAAGAGACAAAATAGGCTTACTGACATTTGTGTCCGACTTTCACTGCCTCACATCTACATGTGTATATAAGTATGTGTGTATATGTGTGCGTGTATGTGGAAAGTGGGTGAGCCACCCTCTGCGGGAATTTAACGGTCAAATCCCTTGACTTTAGCCTGCCCAGAAAAATATTTCCCGAGGTTCTTTAACCTTTGCTTCGCTTCCTGCAGATTTTCACACACCCAGCACTCGAGAAAGGATCAAGGGGATCTTAAATACAAGTTAAGAATGTTAAAAGGAAAAAAAAATAAAATAATTTCAACCCACTCTTTATCCCAATATAATATTTTTTATATAATATATATTATAAAGAAAGCATTTTAACAGTAAGTATACAAATAAATACAACAGTAATTTGTGTTTATATAACTCAAATTCCAATAATATAAACCATATTATTTACACCTATTTTAAATTTAAAATTTAATAATAATCTGCTAAAAAGAAATGTTGAATGCAATTTAACACCTTTATACTATATTTATAAGATATCCTTTTAATATTTTGTTCCATTAAAGAATGCATTCAATTCAAAAGAAAAAAAATTAAATGGGTATATTTAAGTCTCGATGAAAAATCCTTCGTTTTTTCCCATCTTTTTATGTACTTTTTTTTTGGGGAGATTGGATGGTTGATGGGTTGGCTGCGCTTACGCTTAATTAACTCGTTTGATGCCAAAGAAATCCATATGGAGATGGCCATTTTGGTTGACCGCTTTTGGCCTCCTCCCTTTTACTTTGCATTTGGACTTGGCTGCTGATGGGGATTCGTATTTGGATTCGGAATTGGATTTGATTAACCGATAGAATTCCTTTGATTTATACAACGGCCAGTAGTGGGTGAGTGGGGAAAATAGCGTATTAATTATGGGGAGTGCTCCATTCATCTCCCTTGAAAAACATGCTGCGGAACATGTTAAATGAACAGTTTACTGTGAAATTGTCAAGAAAATGCGTGTTTAAGCCAGATTAAATGCAGCTCGCAACTGATTTATGGCCATGTTGTTGTGCTGCCCCCACTTCACACACTCGAAATTCGGATTCGGATTCGGATTGGTTGCGCCGAGGCATTGTTTACTCCAATTATTTATGGGTCAACGAATCATCTTAAACAAGTCGACGGGAGAAGGCAGCGAAAACAAAGGCCGCAATAATAGGGCCGATATCAAATTTCCACTCAGAAATCATCGCAGCAACATGTTGGTAAGTTTTTTTTTTCTTTTTTTGATGTTTTTTTTTTTTTGGTTGACTCCACATGTTGCTGGGCAGGCAAACTGGTAAAAGATGCTTGAATCTCCGATCAAGTGGGCGGTAAAAAGGCGGAAGGGGGCGTGTCCCAGGTGGGCGGCGGTATCGAAAAAGTAATTAAAGGCGAGCGACGACGATGCTAAATGGTAAATGGTAAATGGTAAATGCTGATGCCAGTCGCAGTTAAAAGCTGCCCCCAAAATGCCACGCCCCCGTCTCCCGAAAAAAAGTCCTGTCAAGTGCAATACGTGCCACGTGCATGGGGCCAAAAACAAAAATGCCCGCCCAGCAAAATGTGGCAGAGGAAACAAGTTGGAAGAAGTTGTTCTATTGCATAATGCAGCGACCTGGAAATGCTCTAAAAATTTTTTGGGAATAAATAGAATTACATAGTTCCAAAACTTAGATTATTAAGTTCCCAAAATATATAATAATATAACATAGCTATTTATTATAGTTGATAGGATCGAAAGACTCTTTCATTTGCTTTGTTTTAATTTAAGTAAATATAATTACACAAAAATTGTAAAAAGTGTATAAAACAATTTAATTAAACTTAGTAGAATTTCACAAAAAATATAATAGTAGAACAGCTCTTAATAATAAAATGATGCATAACATCTAAGCAAAAGTTAGTTAATTAAATTTATTTATTAAGAGGGATCAGCCAAGATTATAAAAGTGCAAATTAAAAATCAAGAGTTGAGATATTTCTTTTGCATGATAAAATTATTACAAATATAAACTTAGTTAAAAAAGACAGTGAAACTAATGTTTATTTTTGGTGTAAAAAGCCCATCCATCTCCTTTTCGAACTGCCAAACTCCATTTTAGATCGTCGGTCGGAATTCCTTGCAAATGTACTGGCAAGCGGCGCACAAATTCCAGTTGTGCAATCATTTTGCGGGTTCCATTTCCGCGATTGGGGCACAGGCGATTCGAAACTTATCACACAGTTAATGCACTCGCAACCTTTCGGTGGCGCCACCGCAAAAAGGGCAACAATGCCAACAAAAACGTGCAACAAGGGGGCCGAGTACAAAACACAGATACAAAACGCATCCGTTTTGTGCAACGTAATCGACAATTATCAGCGACATGAGCAAACCAATTGTCCAGTGTCCGCAGTCTGAAATGTCTACCCCTGCCTTCTCCGTCCTCCTTTCTCCTCACTCCCCTTTCGTCCTTCGTCCTGGCATCCTGTTTACGTGCAGGAAGAGAGACAGAGAGCGATAGGCTCGCGGGCAGGACTCCATTTAACGGCCAACCAGCTCATCTGTGTGTGTAATTGTTTGGCAGCGACACTGATTACGGTGTCCAAAAACAAACACCAACCTACAAAATATAATTATTTTTGAGTTCTAGAATATCCCTTTATAATTCAAAATTACGTGCTAAGGCATGATTTAAATTGCTTTCATGGGAAAATAAATTTATATGCAATTTTTAAAACATTTAACTGCCATCCCTTTCTTTTATTTTGTTAGCTAATACACAAAACAAAATTTTTTTTGGTTCCGGAATATCTATTTTGAATTCCCTAATATAAGTTTCTTTCATTGCAAAATCGATCAGATTACCTTTATATTATTTTGTAAACTAGTGTAATAGTCAAATGAAATGTCACGCTTTTTGAACTGTGACCTCCGCTTCAAATATCCAAAGTTTAGCCAACCGTTTCGGACAATATTACATTTATTAAATTCTTCTTAACGCTCCTTAAAAACTAAGCACAAAAAAAAAAGGAAATTATAAAAATAACAAATCGTAGTAAGATACGATAATTACAACGAAAACGAAGATACATTTAGAGGCTTATGGCTAAATAAAAAAAGGTAATATTTGTAATTGTACACATTTGTTAGGTGAATAGGAATATGATTAGGTGTGGGTTCGAAAATAAGACGGGAAGTTCTTTTAAAGTTTTAAAAGCATTTTCAAATAGATATATTTATCGTTTTATCAAATTCATCCAGTTATATACGATGTAGTTCACGAAAAAAAGGTTCTTTAAGGGATTCTATTTGCAATGCATTTTCTTTTTCGAACCTACAAAATAGAGTTTCATATCGAATTCGTTTGGAATCGTGATTCCTACTCCTGCGGAATGTGAGTATGTACATGAGGTTGGAATTGCCATGGATCCCGTTCTCATCTCGCCTAACAGTCCTTGACCTTGACCTTGACCTCCTCCTGAACGAATCCCTGGTTTTCGATGCCTCTCTCGAGGGGTCGCGAGTTGACAGGATTACCATTTGCAGGTGGCGACGGTTCGGTGTGCTCCAAGGACTCGTGTATCACATTGGCTATGATGCCGTTCATCTGACCCTTGGCCTCGCTGGCCAAGACTAAAGCCTCGATGGCATTGATGTTGCCATTGGGATCCTTCACGGAGGCACTTTCCGCATCCGCAGAAGCCAGCTTTCTTCGCTGTTTCACTTGGAAGTGGTACATCCATCTAATAAATAATTTATATTAAATATTATATATATATATTTTAAAAGAGAAACCCTATCAAAAACTCACAGGAATATAAACACAGAGAACAAGGTTAAACCGCCGCCGAGCAGGAAAAATGCACCTGGCAATACTCTCAAAGTAGCTGCATACAAAGTCGTGTACATGGGTGCAAATACCATTGGCATTAGGGCTTCGGCCACTCCAAAAAGCGAATTAACCTTGCCCAATTCATCCTTGGAAACCAATTTGGTGGCTATCGATCTCATGGCAATGAAGGCGGTGCCATTGAAGATCTCAACGAGTCCACCCAAGTACATGTGCCACGGCAGCGTGGCAAATGCGTACACAAAGGACGAAAGGATCTTCGAGGTGCTGGAAAGGACACCCACCAGAGCATCATCGATGTTCAGTTTGTGGGACAAAACACCCACGCAGAAGATAACTCCAATTAAGCCAGTGAACATCGCATATGTGGAGAAGAAACTGAACTCCACTTCCGACCAATTGAAACGGAATCGGGTGAACAAATAGGACACCGCCATTTCTCCGTGAAGAGGTCCTATGATCACCATCACCACGATCATCAGAAGGATAACCCGCTTGCGTCGCTGGTTCTCTCCCTTCTTGAAGGCCACTCGGAAGGTCTGCACCACGTGCTCCTTGTCGAAGAAGTCGGCCAGGAGACTCTTCTGCTCCGCACTCTTCTCCGGTCGGGCGACCGGTTCTTCCAGGAAGAAGAATCCGTACACGAAGGCGATCACGTAGAAGGCGGCCGAGATCGAAAACACACCATAGAAGCCTATTTGCCTGCGGATCATATTTAAACCAGGTTAGTCAATGGTTAAAGTAGAAATTGAGAGCATAAATAGGGTCTTTACAGAGATTCTACGGTTGTATTTCTAATTATAATTATAATATAATAATTTAATATAATTATACAATAAATAAAAGTAGTGATTTAGCTCTAGTAAAAAATGTATTTTTTTAAATATTTGGTTTCTCTTTATATTGAACAATAAATAGTTCAAGATAAAATGATTAAGCTAAATGTCACTGTATAAAATACAGTGTATACTTATGATTATATTTTAAAGAATACGTATGGAATATATTTACTAATATTTTGTATACATTTTGCATAAAACATTCTAGTTAATTATATTCTATAACCAGAAAGGCACTCACTTGAGCAGGACTCCGCTGAAGGCCATTCCGATGGGCACGCCCACCGAGAAGCAGACGTTGAGGATGCCGATCCTGAGGGTGCGATCCTCCTCGGTGGTGATGTCCGCTATGTAGCTGAAGACCCCCATCAGCATGGTGAACCATCCGCCGCTGAGGGAGGGGAAGATGGCCTCCGTTAGGGCGGCCACCTCCATGGGCGTCTGCTCGAAGTAGACGCAGAGCATCAGGCCCACCACCCCGAGGAACTCCCCCACCACCGGGATCAGGATGCAGGGCTTCCTCCTCCGATGGCGATCGCTCCACGATCCCCAGAAGAGGATCAGCAGGCAGGGGAACAGCGACTGGATCACCGTCTTCCACGCCGCCATTCGCGCCACCATCTGCTGCACCGTCTCCTCCTCACTGGAATATAAATTGAATTTAGTTGATGAAGCACATAAACACCACCTAACTAACAGGAAAAGCAAGTTTAAATTGTGGGTAATTGAAATGTAAAATTCATTTTAAGGAAAAGCCTTAACAACTTCTTACTAAGAGAAACAAATAAAATATATTAATAATTTAAAGTCTCATGTTTAGTATAATTAAATTGAATTATATTAATTTAAATTGTAAAATAGTTGAAAAGAAAGAACGCATACATATCTGTAGAATTCTTTACACTTACTTAATATTTTTATAACCTTGTTAATGTATCCAAAACCATTGAAACCAGACAACAAATAAATAGGAAAAATAAAAACCAAATAAAAGAATAGGGAATCAGAAAATAGTATAAATAAAAAAAAAAAGTTGAACTGATTTTATCTCCTCTGATAAATAATTACACTTTAGTAACTTTACAAAAATTGAAGTTTAAATTATGTAAATTTAAAAATTGCCTAAAGGCATACTGTAATTGAAATGCTTTTACTGTCCGGAATACAGTGCTGCATACTTTGGGGACCCTTTGAATAATTTTCCGATACAAAAATATTAAAAATATGAATATGGTACTATTATGGTAATATTGTCATATATTGAATATTATGAATTGTTTATAAAAAGTATAACTTACAGTGTGTAGTTGGCTGTTTGTCGGCGGGTGAGAGCATCGCAAACCTCGTCCCCATAGGCCATGTTGACGCGACAGGCCTTCTCCAGATTGAGATTCTGGGTGGCCAAGTTGGAGAGGACGCTGGGCATGATGTAGGCGGCCAGGATCGGTTCCACGGTGATGTTGTTGGCCACCAGACGGATCTTCTCCCGCCAGGTTCGTTTCGACGGCGGAGTCACTGTGGCATTTTCCTTTTCCTTGTTAGTCGTCGATTTTTCCACATTGGTGGAAAGAGTCGTAGTTGCCGGAGGAGGTGGTGCATGATTCACCGTGTACTTCGCATATGTGGCATCGTCCAGGCTCCCGTCCTTGGGTGACATCCTGATGGCAGGGTGAAAAAAATCTGCAGAGAAATATTTAAAATTAATAACAAATATCCAATAAAATAGATCACATAAAGGTAACCATATTTATCAAAGGAAATATTATATAGTTTTTTAAATATTCTACAAATTTTTTTTTAAAGCATATACCACATTAAATGTTCTTAGTGTTTTTAAATCATATTTAGGTATAACTAAATTTTTAGAAAATTGTTTTTAAATTAAACAAACTCATGAAAATAATGGTTTAAATATGAAATATCATCGTACATTTTTAACTCAATAATTTTACACTTTAACAAAAAGAATTCAATACTTGTGTCATATAACAAACAAAACAATCACAAATTGCAAATAATTGAACATTTTTTTGCAACAACTAACCATTTGAAATAAAGTTGGATGTACAATTTAATTTAGTGAGTGCTCATTGAATTCGCAATTGCAATTAAAGTTGCTAAAACTTAATGCGAGTCTTTAATTGAACGGATTTTAATGAAGGCAACTAACCTATTTTATACCTAATTTGGTCTGGCTTCCCCCTAAAAAGTTAATTTGCTGTCGCTATCTAAATTGAATTGTCATAAACACGGAATTGATAAATTTAATTAAAAGCACATTACCAAGGTTCTTTGCACTGTAAATCTTTTATCTGCGTTTATTATCACAGTTGCTCCCTTGTCTTAATTGCGCTCTTCATTATACATTTACGAAATTATATTGTCATTTTGAAATTTAATGCGTTGGATAATTCTAGAGAATTTCGCAGTTACAAAATTATTTTGTCTTTTGTAATTTATTGAAGTTAATTTGGTAGAACATTTTAAATAATTTTTAATTGATTTGCCTGCATGTTAAGATGATTTCTTTTCATCTGACAGCCCAGTTAAGCTTGTTTTTCGGAAAAGTCAATCAATTTGAGTTGTAAACATGCAATCTTTGCCTTAGAAACATTATCATCATTGCGGGGAACTCCAAGCAGGTGTTTGCTCTCCATTTTGGAGCCATTTTTGAAAACCCAGCATCCGCTTGTAATTCGCTAATGAAGCGAGTTGGAAAAACATGGCCATCATGTATCATCCGATGCCAGAAATATAATTAGTGGAACTCCGATCGGTAGGAACACAATCTCCGGGTCTGCAGCTTTATCTTTTGAGGGCCTGGGATTTGGAAATCCCAGACAACGACGACGTTTTCGTTTTTCACCTTGCTTGCCTTTTTTTTTTTTTTTGTTGGCATTTTTTGTTGCGTTGTATTGTTGCTTTTAATTGTTTTGCCTAGTGCATTTGTTTTTTTTTCCCCGTTTAAAGTGTTTACACAATTGTTGCCACATCTTGGCTTAATGCATATGCCTGTCTATATTCCGATCGAGAAAGGGGTTCCACAACTCACCTTCCCCAGAAAACCATCCGCTGCACTTCACGTGCCAAGCGCAATAACCTTATCGCTAAATTGGTCAAGAAGATATATTGAATATATCTTCGAATACTTGCGGAAGGAGAACTGTATGGGTAGTTTTAAAATGTATGTTACATTTACCAATTTAATCATAAAATTAGATTCAATCTGTTATTAAAACAAATATTATTAAACAAATTTTGAGATAACAAAACTCGTGTTCATTAAACAGCTTTTTAAAATATATATTATAAATTTTATCAAAATGTATATACAACAATTTATATGCAATTAAACAGCTATTTAAACTATTTCTGCAAAAATAAATATGTTGTACAAGGTATTATCTCAATCTGTTATTAAAACAAATATTATTAAACAAATTTTGAGATAACAAAACTCGTGCTCATTAAACAGCTTTTTAAAATAAATATTATCAATTTTATCAAAATATATATAAAACAATTTATATGCAATTAAACAGCTATTTAAACTATTTCTGCAAAAATAAATTTGTTGTACAAGGTGTTATCTCAGTGTTTATTATATAATTCATATAAAAACATGTTCTCAAAATGTTTTTTACTTTATGTATGTCATATAAAGCTTTCACTATTTTGCTAATATTATTTATCAGAGAGGAATTGAATTGAATTAAAATTCCTCTTTTCCGGTGGTTTCCCCATCGACAAGCGTTTCAATTTAATTGCCATGACATTCGCGAATCTCGACTTTGGCACAGAATTAAAATTACCCAAAATTAGGCAAAGCTAATTGACCTTGACAGGTGAACACACACACAGACGAACACACACCTAGATATCTTGGCCATAAAGTGCATCACTGACCGTTTTAATTCCAAACATTCGTCCGGCGATGACGCAGTCGGGTTAAATGTTTAGAAAAATTCATAGAAATCCGAGGCGAACAAAGTTCAGACTCAGATTCGTATAAATGGGGTACAGTGAACCCCGAAAACAATGGCCGAGAAAGTTGAGCTAACTAATTAAAAGCACACTAATTGCAATTCTCTTGAAAATGTGTTCGCACTTGCTAGTTTTTCCTGTACCTAATTGTCTTGTTTAGATATAAATAGAAATTGTGAGTCTAGTTTTTCCGGGTAAAATGGTGTATAGTTAGGCAGAACTGGAAAAGATTTCAGTGATTTAAATAAAATTTAATTTAAATTTAATTACCAAGCAGTGGTTAATATTTGGAGGGGGTTTTATTCTAGTTTTTTTTTTTTAGCAAACTCATTCAAAAGCGCACAACCTTTAAGGTTAACCCAAAGATTTTAGTCAACTGCAAATCTTAGCTAATTGCTCGTGAATTCTTGAAGAATCGTCGTCATTGAAGAGAGCTCTTGACATTGAGCTTCGTTCGGATCTTGAGCTAGATTGCAATTTCTTCGCCCACTCTGCACTTTCTGCGGAAAAGCCGCCGAATGCCGCCCACTCAAACGTGCGATGAACTCAATTAATGTTGCCGAGCAGGAAGGAGTGGAAACATTCGGCGGCATTGAGGTCATTTGGGCCGTCGATCGGTCACGTCAACAAGTGTTGGCCCCCTCGATTTGGCCACCAATCAACTCGTCTCTGTATTCGCATTCGCCGTCGATTGAGTGGCATACTAACTAGCCTAATCGATGGTTATGGCCATGTGCAGCTCCAGGAAGCGTTTGTTCAGTTGGTCTTCGCCACATGCCTTTCCAGGGAGCGGTGCACTGAGCGAAAATCCCTAGCATTTTATTGGAAATGAAAGCTAAGGGCTTGCAGTTAATCTTAGGGGAAAACTTGTAAAAGGAATACTTCCAAAATTACGGCCTGAACTTTTCCTTTAATTAAGTGCATTTTATTTATTAGAAAAAAATATTTTAACATGGTGATTTGTTACCCTTAGTTAAACAAAGCAATTTCGTTTCGAATAATTAATTTAATGTTATATAAAAAAAACCATAACCTTTGTTTTTATTTGGAAAGACAAAATTACCATTAATTTATTCTCTTTTTCCTTTTTATTTTTAAAATCCATACTTTGGTGAGTTACGCACCAAAAAATAATTAAATTCATGCATTCAAAATTGCCTTCTCTATTTTTTATTAGGCAGTTTAATTTTCGGTTAATTATAACCCAAAACTTATTATGGGTTTCTGGGAAAGGTAATGTACTAAATATTACCTCATATTCGATATGTCATGCTGACATAGGTGATGTTTTCAGCACGGGGACACAAACAATTTTGATACTTCCCACGATATGATTCACAAGCCACGACAAAAGAAACAAATTAGAGACGAATTACAGCAATTATTGTCAAATATTTGGCGAGTGCCTATCTTATTTGCTATTGCCATTGTGTTATTATTTAATTTTCTAATCTTTGTTTAATTTTGTTTTCGGTTTTCGGTTGCGTTTCGGCAAAAGTTGTTGCCGTTTTTGCTCATTTCCGGCTGTTTGACAAAACTTTTCACACAAGCGAATCGAACGAGCGATGGCGCTCCAAATTACCCATTTACGTTATTAATTGCATGTCTATGACAGATACAATTAGATATATGAGTGTGGCATCGCAGATACGCCGACACACGAATACGAATACGAAAACGGTTACTGAGATACAGAAATACTACGAAATATACGGCGGAGTCTGTCCGTGACACAAACAAAGTTCTGCTTTAGTCGGTCCACTAAATTGGAAATAATTAAATACAATTAGCCGGCGAAAAAAGAGCAACTTTTCTTCTCGGATTTATTTATGCACAATTCAATGGCCAAATTAGCCGCTAAAAATATTTAGAGACTCGTGGACACACGAACGTAAGCTGGAATTACTATATACTAATAGTCCTTGTGCACAGAAAACAATTTTGAAATTGTAAATCATACACAGCATGCATAAAATGGTACATATTTTAAATCTCCTAGCCAGGTAGAAACCATATTTTTTTTTCTCTGTGCACCTCTAAGCAAATCGCGGAAGTTCCGGAAACTGATAAAAAAAAAAAAAAGAGAAACTGATAAAAATAAAGCTGGAGCTGTGATGCTGCCGCCTCAATGGAAACAGACTAGCAAAACAAAACTTGGCGAAAAATAAATAAAGAAACCTATGGACGAATGCGCCGACTATTAGATACCCGCTATTAAATATGATATTATATTAGAAAATATTATATTAGAAAATAAATATGATAATATATATAATATATTGCAAATACTCTAGATTTTTGTGGGGCTTAAGAAATTTGGGAGTTGTAAAAAATACAGTCAAAAAATGTTTAGTTTCCCTCAATATCTCTTAAATGATCTTTCCACAAAAACAATATTCTTTACGAGTTACGAGTACAAATCTCTATTCGTCGGTGATCAAAATAATGATAAACGAACCACTAATTTGGGCAATCAAACAATAGCGAAAAGCACGGATCTCATTTTGCAATAGCGACCGAAATCGCCACAGTAAATGTGAAAACAACCAAATTTAGAATAAATTAAATGCGATTTGCGTAAATTTATTCAGACCGTAATTATAATTAATTGGGTTTGACAAATAGCCGAGGATGGTACGAGATTGTCACCGAAATATTAGATTCAAGAAAGGGTTGTCAAAAAATATTCAGTAACATAAATCAAGCACAACAAAATGTAGCTTTTGAAAATGTATCTTTAAATGAAATAGATCACCTTTTATAATGCGAATTTATGTAGCAAAACCTTTTAAAATATTCACTTAAAAATTTTAATTTTCAAAGGCTCAGAGGTTGATATTTTTTTATATAATTGAAAGACTTGATAAGATTTTAAAAGAGCTGTTTGATTTTAGTAAACGGGTTTTCAATGTGTTTTTTGTTTATTTTTTGCTTACACTCACAGCACGAAAAAGTAAAAAGATTTATTTTGGAGCTTAGTGAAAATCAAATATTCGATTAGGTCTTTAAAAATACACAGTTGCACTATATATATTTATATATTTGGATTTTTTCGACAACCCTATGCGAAAGGGACGCGAATAGCGGAGAAAACTGAGAGGGCGCATGATGATGGTCAAACAAGCGGATTTGATTTAATTTACATGTCGTTAATAAAATTAGTAAAAAAGCAAGACACACACGCACACAAGCACACATATACACGTTTGAAAAAAAAATAAAACACACACACACACAGAAATGGGGAATAGATGCTGTAAGCAATTGCTTGCTACACTTGCGGAAATCCCCGAACGATTTCCCCCGATTTTCCACCTGATTTTACCTGAGACTCACTGAGTTGCTCCTTTCGCTTTCGATTTCGTTTTTCCAACTCTTGTTTTTCTTTTTCTTTTTTGTTGTTCTTTTTTTTTTTTTTTGTTAGCTTGTTGTCTAATCGCAGTTGTTTTTTGTTTGCCCGCAATCACCTACATTTACACGGCTGCAGCTGCACTTGGATCGCTTTTTGGGATCGCTTTTGGGAATGGAAATGGGAATGGGAATCGGATTCGGATTCGGATTCGGAATGGGAATTGAATTAAGAGTCCAGCAAGTGAAGCGACAGCGAAAAAAAAACAGTGTGTTGTGCCTTCTGTGTTTATTCAGACGATACTTTCGGCTTAACGAGCTGTGCTTTCGGTGTCTAAACCATCGGCGTTGAGCTGAACTCGGCGACTAAAATAATTCGTATTGAATTTGATGAGTTTCGCTGGCCAGCCGCCGCACGGTAAAACGCCGCCGCACAATGGGGCAAGCTATCATTTCAAGCGGTACTCACAATTTACCCAAAAATCAAGCTTTATTTACAATTAAAATTATTAAAAAAAAAAATGAAAAATAGCAAATACAAAGGGAAATGGAAAAAATATTATTTGGTAATAAATAAAAAAAGTAAATTGTTTTGTAAAACACCAGAAAATGTATATTATTTAAGGCACTTTGTTGGAGAAAATTGAGTTTTTATCTTTATTATGCCGGCAGTCCCAAGACAAATAATGTGAGTTCGTTTAAGTCAGTTATTACCTAGATAAGAAATTTCAAAAGGGATTCAGGAAATACAACATTTCTTTTTTAATTACACATATACATTTTTAACATTTGCAAGCAAATTACTTTTTACAATACATAAATGAAAGTGAGAATGTGGTAAGGCAAGTTCTTTGACTTAAAAGTCAAATATTAAATATTTACAGATAACCTTTAGATTATACAAACTTTTAAAAACACTTGAGAATTGTAATAACAGCTATTTAATGTTTAAATATTGTTTTAGCAAATGATATAGTATAACACTATGAAGTTAAAAATTAATATTTTTACAGATGTTTAAAATTATTGTTTTATTATTTGCATTTTACATAAAAAAAACGGTTGTATGTCCCATTGTGCGCTGCCTCTGCCGACGTCGCTGGCGGTGGGTGAGTGGGTGGGTGGGCGCAATGGGCGGTCGGGCGGTACGATCAGCCCGCGGGCAGCGCTGCCGGCGACGAAGCACACTGAAACAGAAAGCGGAGATACAGGTGGGCACTCAGGTGGGATGAAGCCACCGATCCTCCTTTTATTCGCACATATGCTATCACAACTGCAGATCCAAAAAAAAAAAAAATTTCTTTGGAAACGATATCAATGGGTATCAAAACAGAAACTTCCCCGGCAGACCAGTTCTCTACTTCGAAGCCAAAAAAACGGAGCTATCTTATTTAAATATTACAAAAAATACAAATCATGATTTCGCAATGTGGAAAGAGGAAAAAAATATAAAGGCCATTCGATCGCTTGTTGTCTTTTTCATAAAAAAAAGTAAAAAACATATAAACGAAAACCAAAGCAAAACAAACAAAAACCTTTTTTGGCTAGGTAATTTTGTAGATAAAAATAGTTTTATTGTCGGCTATCAAATAATGTTTTCTATGTTTTAAATATTTATTAGTGAAAAGGTAATTTATACATATGGATATATGAACTCAAAATTAACTAATAAACCTGCTCATCTTTAAACATTTTTTTCAATTTAAAACAATTAGACTGCAATTACTTTCCCCTAAAAGGCATTTAATGTGTGTGTATAACTACCGAATCATTTCATATTATTTATTTAATAGTTACATAAATTGTTACGTCAAAATATAAGTCTTTAAATTCTATTAATATTTTTCCTAGTAGTTTCATTTCTGCGAAAAGGCCAAAGTACAATAGTGCCTGAAATTTACCAACAATTAACAATGTTAAAATGTTATTAGTACTTTGGTCATATCTCACGACATAAAGCAAATGAAATGTTGCTGGGGAAACACACAGGTGAAATGGGATAAGTGATCAATCACGAATCAATATAAATAATTGTACATGCAACCAGTTATCATGAAAAAATAACAAATTAGGCAGAAATTAATACTAAACTTTCGTTTCATTGTCCTCAGTTTTCAAAGAGTTTCAAAGAATATTAATGTCTGTTAGGAAGGTTACATTTTTCTCAATGATGCCAAGCGAAAAACCTGTAGTTAATCCAGAAGATTTCTGGCTCTCGTTTTGAAAATTTCACATTCAATTAGTACGTTTGATGGATGTTTTCAGACAATTGCAGTTTTCAGCTTGCAACTTGCCACTTGGCGTTTTGCAGCTATCAGCGGCACTTGAGCGGTGGCCATAATTATCGCACTTGCTGCCACTTTTAATAACGCCGGCGATGATTATGATTACGATTACTATGGCGATGACTACGATGATGATGATGATGGGTTTCGCTGGGTGGTGGGGTTAGTGAACGCCTGCTTGGCCTTGACTCACAAACCACAATGCCGCGAAGACCGCAAAAAGCGCATTCATTGACTGCAGACGCTTAGGCTCTTTACCCGACTGCCACAAAAAAAAGTTGCATCAACGATGGCATAGGTACTATGTTCTAACTTAAAATCCATTTTTTGCTAGTTTGCATCATCGAACAAAAAATCAAAAATAAACTAATAATGCAGCTAGTTAGAAATTTTCATAACAAATTTAAAGAGGTATGCCACTTTGAAATAGGATGAAAATTAGAAAAGTTATGGAGTTAAAAGAGCTGGGATCTGGTCACTTTTCTGCAAATCCGTTTTGTGCAAATTTTTAAAGGTCATAAAAAAAGAAAAAACATCGACCAAAAAATGGAAAATAAACTAATGATGCAGCTAGTATTCATAACAAATTTAAAGAGGTATCCCACTTTTAAATAGGATGAAAATTATAAAAGTTATGGAGTTAAAAGGGCTGGGATCTGGTCATTTTTCTGCAAATCCATTTTGTGCAAATTTTTAAAGGTCATAAAAAAAGAAAAAATATCGACCAAAAATGGAAAATAAACTAATGATGCAGCTGGTTAGATATTTTGATAAAAAAAATTATAGAGGTATGCCACTTGTAAATCGGATAAAAATTGGAAAAGTTATAGGCTTAGAAGGCTGCTCACAGTTCTGCAAATTTTTTGCTCATTTTGCAAGGGGCTTATTAATTAATATTTTTATATGTTTTAAGGCGACATTAGCTGGTGTTATACAAATAATGAGGTAATTTAAATGATAGTTAATAGTTTTCAAATAAATTAACAACAGTTTATGTTTCGCTCAATCAATTTTAAGATTGTTTGCCCGCTGCTCATAAACTCTTAATTTTATTTAAATTTTTGCGAGACTTTGTACCTTAGTTAGATGGTTAGTTAGTGAAAAAAGTACCAAGGTACATCTCTGGTACCCAGATCCAACTGGCAAGATCCACGGCGAGTAACTGGCCGTAATGAGATACCGATTAAAATCAGCTTGGCAGGCGAGTCACCCGATCGCAGCACCCGACCCTCCGGTCTGTAATCAAGCAATAATATTTAGTTATTTGGTAACTCAATGCAAAATAACTGGCAAGTGGGCATCGTAGTTGGGCTGCTCCGTGGCTCGGAACGCCTTTGTCCGCTTTTGTGGTGGCAGAGCAGTTGCTGATTAATTTCCAATTGTTATTATGCTCGAACACCCTTCACCACAATATCGCACTTTTGTTCAGCATAATTGCTGCCAAACCCTTGATCGCCAAACAATTGCGATTGCAAGTTGCAAATTGCAAGTTGCAAGTTTCGAGCTTCATCGGCGACATCTGTCATTTTGTGACAGTGGCTCCAATAAATCAATCATACGATATTGATCTATGATTTCCCTTTCACCTGAATCGCCTTACGAAATTACCTGAAACTCAATCCATGCAAATTCTGTTTGACACACTTGGCTATTCAAACCTGTTTGCATTTGCGGAAGAATCTTAAGAAAAAATCATGCATCTGGCAATCGATTAACTCAAATTTATTCACATTTAAGTAGATAGGATAACATCGCAGCAATGGCGTCACATTTTTCAACAACAAAAAAAAAAAAATGAAGAAAACTCTGCTGCTTGTTATATAAATTACGCTATTCGTTTATTATAATTTGCACCCAATTTGCTGGCAATATAAACAAAATCTCTTTTACACTTTCTCCGGATCACACCTATGTGGTGCCGTTGCCCAATTGATTAATTGTGTTGTCGCTAATTAGCCGAATCCATTGACGTTTTGAATATAAATTTGAAAGGTAATTATTGGCCGACGATCATTAGACCAAAACACACAGCGAAGCTACCTTTGCGTCAAGCGAAAGATAAACATGTTTTCTTGATGCAGACTTGATAAAAAAAAAAAACCCCAAAAACAAAGCAAAATAAAAAATGGTAAATATGAGAGAATTGAAATACCCTTGCTGATATTTTAAACACTTCAAAATACAACATAAAGATTTCTTAAATACTTATAAAATGATAATCATATTTTAAATAGGGGGAAGTTTCTATAAGCAATGCGAATTCATTTTCTTGAGTTAATAATTATCTAATATATAGCATACTCGTATTTTTAATTAATAAAGTACTTTTTTGAAACTGCCTTATGATAGCGCAAATACCCATTATTTACTGACAAACCAAAACAACATACATACACTCTTATGGGAACTACCAATAATTTTGGGAAAATTTCGCGACACCGAAAGCCTTTATAAGAGTAGTTATGTTCAGGCACGTGAATGTAAAACATTATTGGGTTAGTTGCGGTGGGGTTTGGGGAGTGTGTTAAAAGCTGGTACGGCGCAACTTGAATGCTTGAATGATTGAATGCCAATGGCAAAAGGAACGCCTCACTGGCGGCGCCAATGAAAACAGTCAACTTCAACAGCGAATTTTGTCTAATTCAGTTCGCGATTCAAAGCCAGTTGACAACAATGACTGGCGGACTTTATGGGTTAGTTGGCCAAAAAAAGAAGAAAAGAAAACAAATACGATTTCCACAATGGGGTTTTTATTTAAATAAAAAAGGCCCCTTTGAGTATTAAAAGGAGTACTTGAAATGAAGGTTTTCTTTAAGATTATTTTAGGGGAATAACGAAAAAAATTTTTAATAATTTTATTGGTAAAAATACACTTTTTTAAAGTCTTTTTTAATTTTTAACATTCACTATTGTTATGTATTTTCTAGGAAACTAATATTTATTAAGAAGATAAGGACTTTAAGTAAAGGTATAAAAAAACGTATATAAAAAGGTTCAGAAACATTCTCTCCCGTTTTCTATCTTCTTGATTAAATATTATATATAATTCCAAGTAAAATATTGTTTAACTAACA